TAGTGTGTGTTTATGTATATATATATATATATATTTGTATGTGTGAGCTAAAGACTTCATATTCAACTGTCATTTTAGCACCGTTCCGATTCGGAAAAATGGCTGAAATTTTGCGAAAAAAAAGCTGAAAAAGCCAAAAAAGGCTGAAATAGCTGAAATTTTAGAAAATTTTCATCATTAGCACCGTTCCGATTCGGAAAAATAGGCGAAGAATAGCTGAAATTTTGCGAGAATATTTGTCGTCGGTGCACAGACTCCCCCTCTCTTCTCCACCTTAACCAAATTTTGTAATGCATCTGCTCCACGCTTGAAACCTCGACAAAGATATGTGGAATGAAACGGCAATTTCAAGGACCAGATAAACTAGAAAGCTGAATTTTTGCAAAGATATTCTGTATACGAGTTAAAGATTTTAAACTCAGCCTCAAGGCACGCCAAGGTTTCGCGTTATGTGTAAGTAAAATTTCAGTTTCGGGCAGATTTGGCATCCATTTACTCAGCAACCAGAATAAGCAGAAAACCGCAGTTCCATGAAGGTAATAACTGGCCATGTGCAAGCTCGTAAGCGTAAAGTTAGCTTCCGTTTTCGCATGTGCCTTGCGTACGTACACATCAAATGTCCGGACTGAAATACTTCTATCGTCCTTCTTACTCGGTAATCAGTCAGCCAGGAGAGTAGAAATTTTATGAGAATGCTGGCGCATCATGTGCTTCACTGAAGGCATAAAACCGGTTTCAAAAATGCCTAAGCCCCCTTCTCCTCTATATGTAATTGTTCTGTATAACGACTGAAATTCATCATCCGCTTCTGGAGCAGTTCAAGTGAGGCGCGAGCTCTTGGCTACGTCTGTGATGCAGTAAATTGCTTAGGAGTTCGTTCAAATGCAGTGTACAAAAAGAGCTCTTGGATGCCTGTATGGGCAAGTGATTGGCGATTCTCTTGGAGCACGTTATGAATTTGAAAGAGCGCACATCGTGCAGCAGAAAATACAGGCGGATCGCAAATATGTTGGTGCCGACGATCATCCGTTTTTGCCAATTCTCGGTGGAGGACCATTCTCCCGAGAAGCAGGCCAGGTTGCTTTAAAATATTTATTTCAATTGTAAGGAAGGTTTTGTTGACAAGCTGTAAAAACTGTCATGCGCAAAAAATCACAGGAGATCGTCCAAGGGATAATTCGTGTTGCATTTTCCAGTTCTTTGTCGATTTTGGAAGGACCGGTCCTTCGTGAACGTAAAGTAAGATTTGTACAGGTTAGTACAGCTTAGTAGGCTGTAGGTGCGTTGGCTTTTTAAAAGACCCGCTTTCATGCGTTTCTGCATATATGCAAATTGCAAAAACGCATATTGGGAAGAGGCTGTGTGTGTGTGTCTGTCTGTCTGTGTTCGCACTTTTTCTCACCCACTTTCAACTCGAGAACCAGAAAAGCTAGAAGGCCGAAACTTTGGAAGTATGTGCCCATACCATGCGCGTCCCTCTTATTTTAGTTTCATCTCCCTCGGACGCCTGGGTGCCACGTACGGACGCTTTAAAAAAATGCAAATTTTTTAGCGGGGAAACGACCTCTGGAACCACATGAGCTAGGGGGCTGAAACTTTGTAGGAATATTCCTTGTGCATCTACTAGCTAAAGTTTTCAAATTCAGCCTCCAGGTTTGCGTGGTACTCACGTAAGGGCGTATGAAAGTTTTAGGGAGAAAATTACTAGCTCGGGTACCAGGAAAGCTAGAAAGCTGGAAAAAAAAATTTTTGGGGAAATGTTCCCTATCCAGGTACAACTCAAATGTTTCAAATTCAGCCTCAAGCTATGCATGGTACTCACGTAAGAGCATATGAAAGTTTCTGCAGGAAAATTACTAACTCGGCA